TCCATGTATTTCTTCTTCGTAGCAATTGTTGCATTAGCAATTTACATTTGTGTGTATGTTTATTTACTTTAAAATCTGTCTCTTTCATGGAGCTTCCATAAGCTTCATATGGGCAGGGCTGGGTCTATTTTTGCTAGAAAATAGTTGATAAATGAATAAGTGAAGTAGGATAGGAGAGACCAGTTTTAAAATGCAACCTATAGTAAAGAGAGGTAAAACAGTGTTATTATAATATCTCACTTGGAATTCTGTGTTGAAAGATTCAGTCCAACAGCAAGTTGTTTTGTCTGCAGAATGTGAGAGAGATGATTTTTTTTCCTGCACCAAGTAGACATTTTAGTGTTATCTACATTTGTATATCCCAAAGCATATTTCAGAGAATATTGGCATTTGTAGCATAACATATTAATGTCAGTATTTATTTGTAGTTGGGAATTCCAAAAGTTCTTATAGCTTGACAGTTTTGGCTATAGATAATTCTCTAGACTTACTGCTTTTCCTCGGAAAAACAGAAACATTGCTTTTCTTTTAGGTTTATTAGAAATATATTCTTTAGACTTCTGGTATTTTAAAATTTTAATTATTTTAAGCTCTGGAGGAATGGGAAAGTTGAAGGAGAACATGTAAGGATCACTGGATGCAAAGTTTTCAGTTGAAAAAAAGGAAACAAAAAGTCAACAACAATTCACCAAGTTAAAGATTTCTCATAGTAGTGAAATAAAATAAACTCATGTATTGATAACACAGAGCAAGGTCACTATTTATATGACTTGAGATATAATAAAGATATGTGATGCTGGGAAAGTGAGAAGCAGTAAGGGGGAAAGTAGGGAAAACCACAACTTGTTTTAGTTTTTGGAAAAGTTTTTAACAGTACTAAACTTTACCTTTACATTTTTATCTGGAAATAGGTTGCAGAAAGGAAAGTCTTAAAAGATTCTTAAAATTAAATCTGTATGATTCCATTTCTATACCATTCTCAAAATGACAAAATTATAGAGTTGGGGAACAGATTAGTGGTCACCAGGGTGAAGCATATGACAAGGATCTGTCAGTTTTCGCTTTGTGCATTTTGAAACTCTATTTGGTGCACAAATATTTAGGATTGTTATGTCCTCTTGATTAACTGACTCTAATATTATTTTTAGAGGACCTTCTCAATCCCTGGTAATATTCTTTGTTACTAGTATAGCCACTTCATCTTTCTTTTGATTAGTGTTAGCATGATAAGTATACTATATCTTCCTTTATTTTACTTTTAATCTACTTGTATCTCTATATTTATTTAAAGTGTTTCTTATAGACAGCATATAGTTTTTATCTTGCCTTTTTATTCAGTCTGACAATTTCTGCTTTTGATCGTGGTGTTTGGACCATTTACATTAAATGTAATTATTGATATGGTTAGGTTTGAGTCTATTACCTTGCTATTTGTTTCCTGTTTGTCTCATCTTTTCTTTGTGCCTCTTTTACTCTCTGACTTCTTTTAGATTGAGTATTTTTTATGATTCTATTTCATCTCCTTTGTTGTCTCATTAGTGACAGCATTTTTTATTTTGTAATTTCAGTAACTGCCTTAGAGTTTATTGTATGCATATTTTAAATGATCACGTCTAACTTCAAGTGATATCATACAACCTCACATACAGTATAAGAAACTTACAATAGTATGCTCACATTTCTCCCCTGCTGGCCTGGCCTTTGTGCTACTGTCGTCATACATTTTTATGTATACATATGTTGTAAACTCCACATTAAGTTGTTTTTATTTCTGTTTAAACGGTCAGTGATTTTTAAAGACATTTAAGTAATAAGAAAAACTCTTATTTACTTGTCCCTGCAGTTACTATTACCTATGCTCCTCGTTCCTTTGTTAAGATTCGTCTTTTCATCTGGAATCATTCCTTCTGCCAGAAGGACTTCTTTTAACATTCCTTGTAGTGTGGGTCTGTGGCTGATTATATCTTTCAGCTCTTGTATATCTGAGACAGTCTATTTATCACTTTCATTTTTTGAGAGTAGTTTCTTTGGGATTATGGTGTTTTCTTTTAGTACTGTAAATATATTTCTCCATTGTCTTCTGGCTTACATTGTTTTCACAGGAAATTTGCTGTCATCCTTAGCTTTGTTCCTCTGTACATAATATTTTTTTTTTGCCCTGACTGCTTTTAAGATTTTCTTTTTATTACTGGTTTTGAACTGTTAATTGTGATGTTTAGTTTTATTCCTGCTTCTTGTGCTTTGGGTTCATTGAGCTTCTTGGATATGTGGGTTTATAGTTTTATCAAATTTGGAAACATTTCTGACATATCTTCTTCAGGTATTTTTCTGTTCTCCTTTCTCCTCTCTTTTGGAAACTCCAATTACACATATATCAGGATGCTGTTTTATAGTTCACTGACACTCTTCTTTCCTTTTCTTTTTAAACTTTTTCTGTTTTCATTTTAGATGGCTACTATTACTATGTCTTCAAATTTATTAATCTCCTCTTCTATTAATCACATCTGGTATATTTTCATCCCTAGAAATTCAATTTGGGTCTTTTTGAAAAGTTTTCTATGTCTCTACTTAAATTATTGTGCATGAAGAATGAATGCTGTTTTTTATTACTTTGTCTGCTAATTCTAATATCTGTGTATAATATCAATACCCCTTAATTTATTTCTTTTAATAATTGATTTATTTCTTTTTTTTCCTCATAGATCATATTTTTTTGCTTCTTTGGATGCCTAGTAGTATTTGATTATGTGCCAGATATTGTGAATTTTACCTTTTTGGGTGATGAATATTTTTGTATTCCCCTAAATATTCTTGAAGTTTGTTCTAGGATACAGTTAAGTTGCTTGGAAAGAGTTTGATCTTTTTAGGTTTTGCTTTTAAAGTCAGTTTGGTAGAACCCAAGCAGCATTTAGTCTAGGGCTAATTGTTCCCCACTATGGCATACCCTTTTGAGTACTCTATCTAAGCCCCATGAATTATGAGGTTTTCCAGTCTATCTGGGAATAAGCTTGATTCAAGGCCCTGAGTGTGATCTACCATTTCCTCTAATGTGTTCAGATGGGTTTTCTTCTGGCCCTTGGGTAGTTTCATCACATGCATGCACTGATCAGTATTCTGTTGAATACTCAAGCAGGACCCTTGCAATCTCTGGTGTTTTGTTTTGTTTTGTTTTGTTTTATTTCTTTTTTCTTTCATTTTAGCCCTCTCCTGTGTGCTGACCTGTGAACTCTAGCCACATTGGTGTCTGTGGAACTCTCACCTCCATCACTTCAACTCAGGGAGTGTGCCAGGCTTCACCTGGGTTCGTCCTTTCTGCAGCATGATCAGGAAACCCTCTCAAGGCAGTCAGATGGGACAATTACAGGGTTCACCTAGTTTGTTTCCCATCTCTCAGGGATCATTGTCCTGCATGACTTGGTGTCCAGTGTCTTGAGAATGGTTGTTCCATGTATTTTGTCTGGTGTTTTGTTTGGGTTTTGGTTTTTGGTTGTTTCAAGTGGGAGGGTTGAAAGTGGAAATCTCAAAATTAGGTTGGTTTCTTTTTCTTTACATATTTAATGTCACTATTTAAGAAAAAAAATATTTTAACCATTTATGGGTAAGCCAATTTCTAAATATGCTTGCTATATTTAATTTTAAGAAGATCTGAAGTGGAGTGAAGGGGGTGGGGGTCATAGAAAATACAAGAGTGAAAGCTCCCTTTCTTCCTCGAACCTTTCTGACTTGCTCTTTTGGTAGAATGTTGCTACGCTCCCTTACTAACCAGAGCCCCTTTGTTCCTTTTGGAGATGGGGTCTTTAAAAGAGTTCTATGAATACTCCACTTGAAATTTATGGAGGATGTTAAATGAAATCATCATGGTCTTTATGTTTTAACCTACATGATTAAAACTTTGACAGTCAAATATTATAGAAGAACATAATGAGGGACTTATCTTACTAGATATTAAAATTAAATCTATAGTACTTAAAAGATTGAGATACTGATGCTAATGTAGATACAGCTTAGTGGATCAAAATAAGACGTCCATAAACAGATATATAAATATATTTTAAATATCTCAATGATGAGTTACTCAGTAGATGTTGTTGGTACAACTGGCCAACTCATTGGAAAAAAAATTAAAGTTAGATTTCCTCCCTATATCTTATACCTAGATATAGTCCAGATAGGTTAAATATATAATTTTAAAGTATTAGAAGAACATATAGGTAATTCATATAATCTTGAAGAAGAGAAGGCCTTTCTAAGTATCACACACACAAAGGGTGCAACCATAATGAAAAGGATTGATATGATTACACAAAGATTATGTCTTATATAAGGCAAAAAAAAAAAATCATTATAAATGGAGTTAAAAACAGAGTTGATATCCTTACTATATAAAGACTCCTCATAAAGTAGTTTTTTTAAAAAAGTGAGTAACCCACTAGAAAAATGGGCAAAAGACATGATTATGTAATCACAGTTTTACAATTAGGGGTAAAAAATATACATGTCCAGTAAATATTTACTTTAAAAATGTTCTTCTACTTCATAATGATAAAAGCAATAAAAATACTAGCAATAATAGCTGTCATTTATTTTACATTTCTATTTCTCTGATGCATTCAACAGATTAGCTAATTTAACCCTTTGAAAAGCAAGTATACATTATTATCATCATTTTATAAATGGCAATTAAGACAGGAAATTAAGAGCCCTGCCCAAGGTGACAAAACCATCAAGTGGTGGGGCCATGATTATAACCCAGGCCATCTGACTCTAGAATCCTGCCCCGCATCACTTCTCAAGGAAATAAATTAAAACTTCCTGAAATTCTACTGCAATTTACAGAGAAATCGGTAATTTGCTCAAGATCACACAGCTTGTAACTGATAAACTGAGCTAAAAATTTGAAAAGTAAAGAATCATATAAGTAGAAGAAAGGAAAACAGGGTAAAGTAAAGTGAGCCACAAAGCAAATGTCTTAGTTTTACAAATTCACCATTTCTTTTCAGAATATTTAAGAGATGCTTCAAAGAAGATGAAAAATGGGCTTATGTTTGTAAAATTGGTTAATCCATGCTCAGGTAAGTGTCTTCCCTCCCCTCCCCTCCTCTGTCCTTTCCTCTCCTCTCCATGATGATAACTTGAATGTTTTTAAATATGTAGCTAATAAGGGTATGTACTTACTTTGCCTTTGTATCTTTGTTCTTTCTGAATAGCTTTAAAGTTCGGACGGCATCATGAGGAGACAAAAGCAAGCTGCTGACAGTACTAGTCTTCCCAGATAATTCATTCAACCTAAACATTTAAAAACATTTTCTTATAATTTAATCCACAGAACTGTTCAATCATCAGAAATACCGGCAAAACAAAAAAATAGCATGTTGGAGTTCTCTCTGAAAACAGATTAATTTTCTTTGGCTTTCTTATGCCAATTTTTCTTATAGTAGTTATCCAACATTAGCCTCCATTTATATTCATTTTATGTTATAAAGTAAAATAAACAACCAGAATTTTTAAAAAAAGGCTTTTGCTTGACATGCCAAGATTTTGATTAGTTTCATTTTTAGCTGTACTTTCCTTATTTTGTTCTGACCAAAAAGTAGTACATTTTTATCCCTGTTGGGATGATTTTTTTTTTGTATTAAAAGCATTGTATATTGAAGAGATTTATATTTTATTGGAAAACAATTTTATTTTAACTTTATATTCAGTGGACTTTCAGTTTTGTTTTCTAAGTTTTTAGGCAAAAGTACTTTAATATGCTCTAAATATGTAGTAGTATTGGTGATATTTTCATCTCTGTGTGGAGTTGTTTTTCCATTAATGTATGAGGTTTTGAGTGGACACCTGATACTTAGGAAATGAAAGCATTCTCCTGGTGACTGTAAAACTCAATGGTAAAAGTGAGGGGAAGCCAATGGGTACTGCCTTGTTGGAGAGACATATAAACAGAAGCAGCAAGAGAGGGAAAAAATTCCTGACTTCCTCCAGTGTTCTTGTCCTCAAAATGAAATTGAATGTAATTGGTCAGCTATTATTTGGAACTCTTAGTTATGCATAAGACTAAGTTGAGGCAAGAAATATTTCTTCAAGAGAAGTTTTAGGTAGTAGTAAAAGTTTAAAGCACTTAAAGGCGCAGGTACAAAAGAAAGCCGGCTTCTTTTAAAATTTGTTTTATCCAAACATACATAGACAACAGAGCAACAAATATTTTTATTTGCTACATTGGCAATGGAAAAATAAAGGTTAACATCTCCTGAGCACCTACTATGTGCCAAAAGTACTGTTTCATTGTTTTGGGGGGGATTTTTTTGGTGGCTGGCTGGTATGGAGGACCAAACCCTTGACCTTCATATTATAAGGCCATGTTCTAACCAACTAAGCTAACCGGCCAGCCCAAGTACTGTTTTAGGAAATTTACATGTATTTTTTTTTAATTGCTATGAAAACCCTATGAGGTAGGTTCAGTATTGCCCCCATTTTACAGATGTGGAAACAGTGGGACAGAAAGTTTTGTGTAACTTCCCCAAGGGCACATGCCCAGTATGTGGGGGAAATAGATTCCTTGACCCCAGAGATTGTGCTGTGGTTAGAAAAGAAAATTTCATGACTTGAAGGTATAAAACATGCAGATGTGCACAGGCTTCACCCCCTTCTCTCCTCGCCCCACAGCTTTTTAAGAAAGAACATAAGAGAAAAGTCCACCCAGTTGAGTGGGGCTTTACTCACTCCCTATGGCTTGAAGCATGTCCTTGCCTTTCCCACTTAGCGTTGGCCTGCAGGGTTCATGGGCCGGATCCCTGTGTGTGGGGAGCCACATGCTGCCCTGGAGACAGGGACCCACATGCCAGCTCAGATCATCTGGCTGAACCATTAGATTTTGGTAGTTTAGGAATGGGTTTTCCTTCTCCAGTAAGAGCAGTTAAGATAAATGACTTGTACTTTTTAAATTTTTTGGTTTAAGTTCAGTGAGGATTATAGAGCTGGAAAACAAGCATGTGTGTATAATAGCTATAAGCTTTCCCTTGGAGTCATTTTGTATAAAATATATCTGTATGTTTATGTTCATATTACAAACATTCCTCAGAATTATTGGATAGTCTCTTGATGTGTGTGTGTGTGTGTGTGTGTGTGTGTGTGTAAACTTACAAATAAAAAGCAGATTTGTCTTAACAGGCGAAGGAGCCATGTACTTGTTCAATATGTATCTACAGCAGCTGTTTGAAATAAAAGTTTTCAAGGAAAAACACCGTTCTTGGTTTATAAATCAATCAGTTCAATCTGGTAAGTGACTAGTGTATATTTTTCCATTAACTAAACACACACTCTAGCTTTTCCATCCTTCACACATGGGGTTGAGGGTGTGTTCACCTGGTTTGGAGTGAGGTTAATGGTTTAGCCTTCCTTGGCATTAAAGCAGGGTTTAATCAAGGAGAAAAGAAAGGTAATTTGAACACTAAGTTTAGGTCATTACCTATGTGTCTTAGATGGTAGGAAATTTTAAACTAATGACTCTGATTTGTCTCCTAAAACACCACTTCAGTGAGAGGTTAGATTACCTTTGTACCATGGAAAGCACATTGTGCTGACTGTAAACTCTTTCTTTTGAGGATCTTCAAATTTTTAACATCTTAGTTCCTTGAAACTGGATACTGATATAGCTTCTAAAATAGACTAGAATATAAAAAAGATTTTTTTAATGCTTTATCATATAAATTACTGTCCCCCCTCCCCCCACCCACACGCCCCACCACCAGCAAAGTTCTATTTTTTTAGTGTTCTTTTAATTTAGGGTCAGTGCTGACTCACAAGGGAAAAGGATACCATAAGTTGTGTTCCAACTCATGTTGTAGGGCTTCCTGAGTGGGGGCACTCAGTGGGCATTTGGCTATTGAGGTCTCCTACATGCCTTCTGCCCACCTGCTCACTGTTTCCAGAGATTGGTTTCTATTTCTCCCCAAGCCCTCTGCTTTCTGTTGGCTCTGTGTGTCACCACTTAGTACTAAGGTAGAAAGGCCATTTTGCCTGCTTTCTAAGACATTCCAGAAGAAGAGTTTATTGCTTGTGATAAATTTTATATATCTATGTGCATGAGAAGATTTGAAATTGCTAAAATGCAGTGGTAGGCTGTGTATAGTCTGTTAGGTGGAAAGTATACAAGCATGTTCCCTTCCATTGTCTGAGTTGGTATCTGCTTTTTTTTTTTTTTTTAATAGACCTTATTTTTTAGAGTTGTGTTATGTTCACAGCAAAGACACCTGCTTTTTTCCGTCATTGTCTTCTTTTTAAACTTAATCCTGAAGTAAGAGCTGTTTTTAAAAATAGACATCAGGGGCCGGCCCGGTGGCGCACTGCTACAGTGCGCTGCTTGGGAGCGCGGCGGCGCTCCCGCCGAGGGTTCGGATCCCACATACAGACCAGCCACTCACTGGCTGAGCGAGGTGCGGGCGCAACACCAAGGGTTGCGATCCTGTTGCCGGTCCCGGTCCGGTACGGGCGCGACACTGAGGGTTGCAATCCGTTGCCGGTCACGAAAAAAGACAAAAAGGAAAAAAAAAAATAGACATAAACCTGTTTTTAATTTCTGAATATAATGGATGCCTCATATAAAATGAGTTACAGCTTCTAATATGTTGTTTTCATGAGCTTATATTTTTAAAAAATAACCAAGTTGTATCATAATGTGAAATTATTTAAATTTTTTTTGCTTACTGTGAAATGGATTCATATATATGAATTTATATATATAAAAGATTCATGTGTGTGTGTGTGTATAAGTATATAAAACTTACAGTTAGAGTTTCTTGGTTGTATAGGTAGGTTGCTCTGTTAGAGAATAAAAGTAAGTACATGTATTTCCTGAAACCAAAATAATAAGTTTGGGAAGAGGTAAATGAATTCTTTTTTGTTTTATTTAATGAAAATACCTCTTCTGGTTTACTTCTATGGAAGGAGGAGCTGGGATGCTTGGAGAGGAGCTCAACAGAGGAAAGAGAAGTGGGGAGTGGGTGGGCTAGTTTGTTTGGGTAGTCACGAGTCTACCAAGATGTCTTATTTAAGGGGAATGAATGAATGGTTTTAAGTCTATGACCCTAAAGTAAGAACCAGGAGCCAGGTACAGTTTTACTCTAGAAACCCCCAAGTTTTATGGGCCTGGAGCTAGAAGAGGGACATGTCCTGAGCAGGTTGCTGGCTTCTCTAAGCTTGGTAGTAAAGAAATCCTACTGGAGATGATAAGGCTGTTGTTGAAGAATGATTTGACTTAATGTGCCATGTATGATCAATGGTATTATGTCCTATGTAAGATAAAGAAGTTAATGTACAGGACGATATCCATGTGTTCAGTCTATCTGTGTGGGTATATAATTTAATGTGTTATGTCCTGTAGTTAACTTAATGTACGTGCTTATATGCATGGGGAATGGATTTTAGTGTACGATAAAGCATTTATGTACCATCAAGCGTGTATAGTACTAGTACATTATTAATGGGGTAAAGCACATGTGCAAGATATACATAGGAGAGTTATATTTTATGTTTATTCTCTTGATACTGACATAATACTTAAGAATAATTTATTTGTCTCAAGAAGAATCAGGGATTAATTTAAGTAGGATTTCAGCTTTGGATGCTGATGGTGGAGTGAAAGGATTTTTCCTTGATTGCCCTGGGGAGAGATGATCTCCATTTTTGGTTTACTCAACGAAAGTAATTTAACACACTACAAGGACTCTTCATTTAAGAAGCTTATTCTTTTTTTTTTTTCCTTTTTGTCTTTTTTCATGACCAGTAACGGGATCGCAACCCTCGGTGTCGCGCCCGCACCGCCCTCAACCAGTGAGCGGACCAGTCTCTATATGGGATCTGAACCCTCAGTGGGAGCGCCGCCGCACTCCCAAGCGCCGCACTCTACCAAGTGCGCCACCGGGCCGGCCCAAGAAGCTTATTCTTGATTAAGCTTGTAAGCGGTATAAATATGAGAACAAGGAAAAACATAAGATGGATACAGAGATGATCTCCATTTTTGGTTTACTCAACGAAAGTAATTTAACACCCTACAAGGACTCTTCATTTAAGCAGCTTATTCTTTTTTTTTTTTCCTTTTTGTCTTTTTTCATGACCAGTAACGGGATCGCAACCCTCGGTGTCGCGCCCGCACCGTGACTGGTAACGGGATCGCAACCCTCGGTGTCGCGCCCGCACCGTGACTGGTAACGGGATCGCAACCCTCGGTGTCGCGCCCGCACCGCCCTCAACCAGTGAGCGGACCAGTCTCTATATGGGATCTGAACCCTCAGTGGGAGCGCCGCCGCACTCCCAAGCGCCGCACTCTACCAAGTGCGCCACCGGGCCGGCCCAAGAAGCTTATTCTTGATTAAGCTTGTAAGTGGTATAAATATGAGAACAAGGAAAAACATAAGATGGATACCGCTAGTCTTCTAATAATAAAAAGAGTATTCTACTGGTTGTCCTCCAATTCATGTGAATATAAGAAAGTCAGATTCTAGAATTGAGAATAAGCATTCACTTAGTGGTCAGGATGCCATGCTTCGTTGTTTGGATAGCTGAAGTATTGATATAATTGCTAAAATTAAGATAGAGAGTACAAGGCCTTGGATACCTCCCAGTTTATTAGGAATAGATTGTAAAATTGTATAGGCAAATAGGAAATATTATTATGGAGAGCTGAGAGTTTTAGGCAGAATGGCATAGTCATTTAGAGAATATTTATAGGTGTGATATTGTTAGAAATAAAAAAGTCAGCAAAAATGCTACCAGTTGTTAGATGTTTAATTGAATTAATTAACAGGGGTTGTTTTCATTGATATTAAAGTTGAGAAGCTAGGTTGTTCTAGGAGTGCAAAGAAAATCATTCACATACTTGCAGACAGCTGTTAGGGAGGTGGTGATTAACAGGGCTCAGGCGTTGGTATGTGACATGACGTGGTTTTGATAAGTAAGTCTGGAGTATTAGAAGCCTGTAAGGAAGAGCGTGCCTGCAAGTGCAAGGCTCTCAGTGATGAATGAATAGACCTCCTGTTTTTTGAATATATTGTTCATCGTTAAGGTTATGTATGATGGATCTGGAGCACATGGAGAGCATAGCTTTAAAGAATGCATGTGTGCAGATGTGGAGAAATGTTAGATGTGGTTGATTAATGCCAGCGGTGGCCATTTGTAAGACCTAGCTGGCTTGAGGTGGAAACTGCAACAGTGTTTTCAATGTCATTTTGCGTTAGGGCACACATTGCTGTGATTAAGGTGGTAATAGCCTTTTTTCCTTTCTGCCTCAAGAGCACTGTTAAGCTTGCTGCATAGTTTTGTTTGCTTATGCTCAGTCTTCTTAGATTGCTGCCCTCTTCCCTTTTTGGTTAGGGGATGGAGTGGGGTATGGGGTGGTTAATAGCCTTATAAGCTTTGATCCGTGGACATTTCTGGAGCTGTGAGCCCACAGACCATAGAAGGAGCTATGTCCCGAGAGAATGATACTGCTTTCCCATGGCTTCATCCTCAAAAGCACAGGAAATTGCATTTTACTGCAGGTTTATAAGTAGACTTACTTGTATAGGTTTCCTAATGTTTACTGGATTCTCATTCTGCCTGTGTTTCCCCCCAATCCTTGCTTTTTGAGGAGTGGCATGGGAGGCTCTTTTAAAAAAGATTTCTAAAGAATAAATGGGAAGCTAAAGGTCAATTTCAGTGTTTTGGCTATCCTCTCCACGCAGGGATTTGAAGCTCTCAGGAGTAAAATTTCATGGAGCACATTCTGCCTTTTGAGAGAATCATGAGAGTCTTAGGCCTGTGTAAGAAAAGCTTCTGAACTTGGGATTCCACATACATCTTCCAGCGAATGGTTTTCACATTGAACTTGATATGAAATAACCATGTTGTCTTTGCAAGACATTTGATCCCGTGTTCTATTTTGCATCTGTAGGAGGCCTTCTCCACTTTGTCACGCCCCTGGACCCTCTCTTTCTGCTTCTCTACTACCTCAGAAAGGCTGAGAAAGAGGTGAGTTTCCCAGTCAGGGGCCCTTCAGGGAGGAAGCAGAATAGACTGTGTTTACTCCCTCTCCTCACTCTCCCTCTAATGATCCAAATGTAGATTCCCCACACTTCAGAGTTAATGTGGTTATTGTAGGAAACGTTTGTTTTGGGTGCCAGTCCAGTCAGAGGACTGACATGCAGGCTGGAGAAGATGTGCCTTAACCTTGATCCGGTTTGACACTTGCTAGCCCCTGACCTGTGAACTGCCTGACTGACTGTGCTGTGTACCTTACTGTTTACAAAGCCTAACAATGAAAACTTTTATCATTAAGTACTCATTAGATTTGAAACAGAAAACAAGTGTTAAAAAATTGAGCCCAGGCCTTGAAAGAAGATTTATCTGCTTTCGTGAGGGACTTCTTTGTGAAAGACTGTATTTCACAGTCTCAGTAAACTGAGACATATCTAGTAAAATCTTATTAATGGGGAAGCTCCAGTTGAGACTTAAGGAATCCTGGATGGATAAAATTTACCTTTGTGATATAAATAAAGACAGAGTTTGCTAATAGTAATAGTTTCAGCCAGAATTTCTGAAACATTTTGATATGTATACGTTTACACTTAAAATTATTAAGGGTTACAAAGAGTTTCTGTTCCTGTGGGTTCTATCTATCAATATTTACTATGTTACAAATTAAAAATAAGAAATTTTAAAATAATTTTATTTATTTAAAAATAAAAATAATAAGGCCATTACCTGTTTTTAATGAAACAAACAACAAAATTTAATGAGGCATGTGTCATTATTTTACATTTTTTCAGATAATTGTGGAATTTTTCTTTGACACTACTTCAAAAATCAATAAGGGATAGTTTCTTAAAGGTCAGTTGCCAATGTGGAATCTTAAACCTGTCAATGAACTTTCCATGCTCCATTACATTAAAACCCATTGGTCTGTCTTATACCTAAAATGGATCTTTTTACTCACTTATGATTTTGTAACGACATGCTTTGGTCATTTGGAAAATATTGGCTTATGGAGTTAGGCAGATCTTCTACATGTTGATACGTCTCATTTTATACACACACACACACACACACACACACACACACACACACACACACACACACCCCTTAATATCACCACTGATCTCATCAGATAATTCTTTACATATTGGGAAGCTGTCATAGTGGCAGATACAAATCTTATACAAATTCTAATTTTTGCTTGAAAGTCCTAATTTTAACACTGGCTACAAGTATTGTGAGTCTTTCTCTTGACGTGACACGCCCACTTCATTCACATTCTGCCCAGTACCTGAGTTTGAATAACCTTCATGCACAGTGAGTTTTTCAAATAAAAGTGGTATCTATGAAGAAGCAGCTCGTTCTGCTCCTGACCCCGACAGTCACACAAGTGCTTTCCCTCGAGGGACTCACCAGGCCTCAGTTGCACAGTGTGGCAGAAGTGCCTTAGCCGTACTTCACTTGCATCACAAGTGTGCTCTCAAGACTTGCTCTCAAGAGCCAAGATTTAAGTAATATTAGTTGCTTTCAGTACTTGATCAAGGATATTCTTAAGTGAAGCTGGCACTTTTTTAAGTGCAAGTACATGGCAATGAAGAAACCAGCTCCATTCCCCCCCGTTGGGTTTGAATCATCACTGCAAGTGTCAACACAGTGAATATGCAGACAGCATTTTAGCATAATCATGAAAATAGTTTTGAGTATAGGGACCCCCTGAAAGGGTGCTGGAGACTCCCAGGGATCCATCAACCTCAGTTTAAAAACCTTGATTTAACAACTTTAAGGAATAAATCTTACTTGCACTGCTTAGAGAATCTGGTTTTTTGGACTCTCATGTTTGCATATAGTTTAAATGCTTATGGGTTCATCTTATTTAGTCATTAGACCACATTCATAAAACTTCCATTTTGTAGATAAATCAATTTAAGTTGCTATAAATACTGAAAGTAATAAAACTGACTTAGAACTTTAATTCATGTTTTCTCTTGATGCAGCTTAGCTTCTTTTTTATTCTCCTCCTTTCCTACCCTCTGCTCTTTACTGTGGATTAGTGAAATTTTATTTTTTAGTTTAATCGTGTTTCCCCTGGAAGCTACTGTGTTAACCAATGTAATTAGGGCACTCAAGCAGTGAGGCTAGTAAGCCGTGTGTCTCTAGAACAGGAATGGTCCTAGTCACCACCAGGAATCTCTGGGACTATACAGAGAGGAAGTTGAAAACTTCATTTGGCTCACGTATGTGGTGTTTTCTAGAGTAAATTAACACAGAGAAAGCCACCAGCTGGTCACACTGCATGTATTGATGTAAATCTAAAGCCCCCCCACCCCTCACCGCCCCCTTGTGGTATTCTTTCCCCATCTCCCACTAGGACCATGACTCTGGTGGAAGAACCCTCACTCTGCCCTCTGGGAGCCTCTGGGGTGCTGTGGTAAGCTCAAGGTGACAGAAGCAAAATGAAGCAGAAATGCTGCTCAGGTTGGAGGTTGGCTTTCATTTTAAGCCATGGTACTTTCTCTTCACAGGACTAGAAATGCCGAGTAAAGTTAACTCATGAGCTCTTCGGGTATTTCCTTTCCTACATTTTAGATGTGATTATTTCTTATTTAGTTTAAAAAAAAATCGGTACACACTTCTGAAATTTGACCCATTCTTTTTTAATTACAAGACTTATTTTAATATCAGTAAAAATAACTCTTCTTTTTAGCTATCCCAGCTGTTCTTAACTTTATATTCAAAGCGAGTTGCTTATTGCATTTCCTCTTTATGTATATGTGGCGAAGAAAACAAGAACGAAACACTAGTTAATTATAAAATTATTTTGTATCGTAACTGTGTGGTAGTTCATTACATTTAAGTAGACTATTGTTTTAGAGTAAATATTTAAAATATTGGTTGATCATAGAAGATTTAAGGTAGAAATCTAAAGACAGTAAGTCTTGGGAAACCTGTGAATTATTCTTACTTTTGAAGGAAAAAGAACATTTAAATTAAGGTATTTCTTGCTACTTTAACTTATCAGAAAGTATGACACACACTACTGAATGAATGAGAAGGTTTCATTCTTAAAGTCAAAGAAAGCTGTACTTGCAGAAAGAAAACTTATCAGACAGTTTTTCATTCTTCAAAAGGAATTGTCACTGAAACAGAAAAAGTAGAGTGAGCTAAAGAGGGACATGGCCAAGACCATACCTGTGTTACGTAAAAGTCTGCTGTCCCCACATCAGGGGGCTAACATCTTAATTTAGACACACTTCGCCTTTCCCTGCTGCTAGTAAAGTTAAGAAAAGCTAAACCTAATTGAGGAGGAGAATGTTCTGAGTTCTTCTGGCCTGCACTTCTGGCCTGTTTACAACCAGGCAGTAGACACTTACCTAGCCGAGCCTGGGTTAGCCAGCCTGCAGCGTCATCACACGTGTCCCTCCAGACATCTTTTCTTTTCTTATGGTCTAAATTTGGGTGCATAGTCAAACAGGTCTAACAGGAGGAGATTCACTTTGGGTATTTTTCTTTTCATGGCAGCTGTTTCTTTCTTCAGCCGTGGAGTGAGGATAGGGAGGGAGATGTATGTTCTGGGCCCCGTCTGGGCTTGTTCCTGTGTGATAGTCAGGGCTCCTGCTCTGTGACCTCTGCTGGTTCTTCTTCAAAAGGAGTGGGTTGGACCAACCATAGGCAGTCTGTACCATCTTTGCAAGTTTTGTGTCTTCCAGTGTTTTTCTAGACCTTTGTTTCCTGTTCCATCTGGTGATTGTAGCCCTGATGGAGATGGTGTGCTGCCCGGAACCCTGTGCTCACAAGAGCTTCATAAAGGGAGCCGAGGGTCAGTCCTGCAGCCTACTCCAGTTTAGGGGTTCCTTAGATGGAACAAAAATCTCTGAACTAAATTTAAAGGCTCAGCCATGAGATAATGTATCTTTTTCTTTTCTTTTTCTGTGTGAGTTTGTTTTCTGGAACGCTTGTCCTCTGACTGACTCGTGTTTTTTCAGGGAAAGTTTCAGCCTCTAAATCAAGTTGTGGTGGATGACGTGTTTCCAGATTGCATCTTGTTGCTGAAACTTCCTGATCTTGAGAAGGTACTTCGGCACGTGACAGAGGAGAAAGGTATGGTATTGGGCCCTTGAAGTCAGGCTTAGGGCTGGTAGAAAGCTGGGCCTTTATCTGAGAATGTAGCGGCATGAAGTCCTGCCGAGTGTAATGCTTGTTCTGTGGCGGTCACAGGAGAAGCTGTCATTCAGATCTGCTTCCATTGTCACTTCTGTGCCTCTGTTGCAGTGAGTTGTTCAGTCTTTGGAACTGTATCCAGTGAAATCTGCAGGAATCACAAGCCACGGCTTTAGTCTTTAGGCAAGTCACTTAGCTACTGTCTTTCATATTTCTCATTTGTAAAATAACATAAAACCTGTGCCGTCACTGATTTAAGAAGCATCTACTGAGCACCTACTAAGAAGCATACGTTGAACACTAGAGCTAGGCTCTGGGGTAAGTATAAGTGAGATGTTGCCCTTTCCCTCACTTTGCCTTCAGTCTGATGGGGGCAAATGGCAAGGTGGGTAGTGACAGTACAGTGAAGGGAAGTGAGTCCTGGGTGTTCTGGGGATGCACAGGCCAGGCTGGGGCTGGGAAGGGACTCTGGGTATTGCATTGCTTTCTTCAGGAAAATGACCTGAAGGGATAAGTCAAAGAGGCAGCATAACGGAGGCATGGATGTATGAAAAGTTTATCATGTTTAGGAAGTTCCAAGGAGGTCAGTGTAGCTGGAGTATAGGGTGCTGGGGAAGGATTTAGGTTGGTAAGTAAGGAATGGGGCAGGAATGCTGGGTGACGGTCCAGATGGTGAAGGGCCTCTGTGTATCTGGACTTTACCTAATGGTAGTGAAGGGTCTGTGAAGTTTGAAGCAGGGCAGTGCCCAGTGTGGAAAATATTCCAAAGAAGCTGAGGCCGGGACCATAGAGGCGGCTGCAGTGATCTCGACAGGAGATCATGGTAGCCTGAGGTGGAACTAGCAAGAAGAAGCAATTTAGAGATGGAACAACCACATCTGGTGTTTGGATGGTGGTCAAAGAAAAGGAGGATTCAAGACTGACTTCTGGGTTCGTGCCTTGGCGCACAGAATGTGTAGTGGTGGTATCCAGGAGACAGGGAACATGGGCCAGAGGACAAGGCTGGGGTAACTAGAGGTGAGGTTTAGATATTATTCATTTGACTTTTCAGAAGAGGAAGTGAGACACTGTGTGAATGTGTTTTGACAGGTTAGAAGCACTATACAAACTTAGTGCCAGGGCCTCAAAAAATTATCCAAGTGGTTTCAGGGTTAATATAGAAACATAGTGTGGGAACTAGAACAACAAGCTGATAAGTTGTGGCTGTTTTGGGTCATAGATGGTTTGGCCAACCATGACAGTTCTTTCAGGACCAAGAAAGTGTGAATCCAAGAAGCATAAGCTTATGGTGGGAAAGGGGAGAGCCTCACTGGTTGCATTTCATGTTTGTGGGGTCTACTAACTTCATACTTGGACACATTTGCAACTCCATTTTGGGTCTGAGGGATGTGTGGTGCCAGGGTTTTACCAAAGCAGTCCCATTAAAGACATCCCCCAATGCTGAGTTTGGCAGGAGACTGCAATCTTTTGGGAGGTGACAAAATGAAGTAGCTCTTCACCATTTTTTGAGAGCTAAAGTAATGAAGAATAATTACAAGTCATTTTCAAGTTAACACCAGTTGAAAATGCAGTTAACTCATTGTCCAGAATTCTGCCATTAAATGTATAAGAACAGTCATCTTAAAGCAAAACCCAGAAACCCAGATTCAGAAACAGTATGAATGCCCCAGCATTGGTTGGTTTACAGTCTACAGCTCAGAACAAGAGCCCCTCTCTCTCACCCTTCCTCCTCATACCCTGAATCCCTGACCAGGTACTGCATCATTATCTGACCTTCCACCCAGTCTTCTTTATTCCCACCATTACCTAGCATTTATAAGTTGTGCACTTCCATTTTTCAAAGAAGCTGTATTACCAACCCTTATATATACCTGATTTCTAAAACCCTAGGCCTCAAATTTTCTTAATTTTTCAGTGATAGTAAGGCAAAACATAAAGTAATTGAATTTCACACAGTAAAAGATATATGTAATCTCTAGAGGTTTGGTAGTTTCTTCATATCAAATTCTTCCCTAATGAACTGCAGCTTCTAAATCTTGAAATAATGGAAGTCTGAAAACAAAAATATTTCAAAACAGGGAAAAAAGAAAATAAGATCTCAAATGCTTCACCCTCAAAAAGGCATCTTCATCAAAATACACATAAGCAATTTCACATTATTTGCTTTGCCCCTTGACCCACAACATAAATATGTGAAATATTTTCCTTTGTGTAAAGCCTGTGTATAAGCACAGTGTACTGGCATAGACACCTTCTTCCATGAAGATCCACAGGAGAATGCTCTACGATCTGGAGTTGACAGCTGGTGATTAGAGTCTGTCAAACAAGCTAAGTGTCGGACACGCACTTCTAGTACAGGAGCACGTCCATAAGAACTTTCCCGTGCTTATATAGCTGAACAGGAAGACAGTTCTCATCCCTGCAATGAACTCTGTAGACTTTTCAGGCACCGTTACCCTACCTGTTAGCTTTTAGTGATCGTGTTGGGTACTAGCTGCTTATTTGAATTTGGATTATTATCCATTTATAAATTAATGTTTGGTTCCATTCTCTGTAATTTATTTCTACATTTTTAGGTAAGAAAGAAAGAAGACTGCTAAAGAGTGGTCAGGTAGTATCCACGACAGGGTGTAAAGATAAAGAGAAAGCTAACTTTTCAAAATGTTCATCCTCTCCACAGGTACTTGCACAGATAGAGTAAAACCTGAACTGCTCAGCCTGCTATTTTGATATTAAACTCCAGACGCTGTCTTGAACATCTGTGGCATTAAATATCTGGTTAAGTCTACTAGGATGGTGAGAACCTTACCCTCTCACCTTCTCCCTGATGGATAAACCTGGCCATGGTTGTTTTTACCCTGACTGATGGTGGCGGTGGCCTCAGCCCTGCCTGTTTTATTGGTGAAGGAAATGATGTGTCTCTATTTGCTAGCTCTGGGGCTTAGAGCACGTTTCTTACCAAAGAGGCTCGCATTCAGTGGAAAGATGGCACAGGAGAGGATTAATAAAGGGTCGTGAACTTTATCTTGAATGTAACACTCTGTTTCATATTGCAAGCAAAAGCTGCACTGCGCTGTCTAATGTGATTAACAGGACGAGCCAGGAAAACTTACCTGATTAAAATACCCCAAGTACAGTTGCCAAGTTTCTATCCCCAGGGGGAAGGGAAAAAAAGAGACCATATGAGTTTCTCAGTTATAGAAAACATTGAAAAGTAGAAGTGAAAATATGCTCTAGGCAGTTTGTTCAGCAATACATCAGGGAAATTCAAGTTTGTGAACCGATTACCCAATTGCTGAACATGTTATTTAATTGTGGACTCACTTTTATTCCATCTTTACTTTGTAAACCCAATATTTCCAGATGTTTGAGACTAGTTTTATAGGCACCAGACACATAAGGGAAAAAACCTTTCCAGCATATGCACAGATTATCTAACTCACTAACTCTCACAAATATTAAGTTTAGGTCATAAACAAATGTGCTGTGGTATTTTTCATAATTATGAGCAGTCTGTGGCCTTCATGAATTCTTTAAACCTCCTTGCTTTCCAAAATTTGTGAATTTCAAAATAAAGCAGTACTCAATCCATTGGGTTCTTGTGTAGCATTCTGGAATATAGTGATCATCTTGTCTAGGGAATGTTTAATTTATAAATAAGTTTATAACTTAAAAACTTTCTAGAAAGAAAACTCTAAGCCCAGCTGGTTTCCCTGGTGAATTCTACTATACTTTAAGGAAGAATAATATTCAAAGAAATATTACTTGCTCAAATTCTTTTAGAAAGTAAATGACGAAGGAATATTTCTCAACTAATTTAATGAAACCAGAATTGCCATGACACCAAAATCAAAATTATTATAAAAAGGAAACTAGACCAATATCCCTTATGATTATAGACTGAAAAATCTTTAATAAAATAGTATTTTTATAAAGTCAAATGTATAAAAATCAAATATATGAAACCCAAGTGGGATTTATTGCAGGAATGCAAAGTTGGTTGAACATTAGAAAATCAATTAGTGTAATTCACCATATTTGCACATTACTAAAGAAAACTGTATTATAATCTCAGTAGATACACAAAAGGCATTTTACAAAGTTTAGTCATGATATAAATTCTCAGCAAATTAGGAATAGAAAGGAACTTCCTCCATCTGGTAAAGGGCATCTATGGCAAACTTACAGCTAACACCATCTTCATTGTATAAGACAGAACACACTTTTCTCCTAAGATTGGGTTCAAGACAAGGATATCTGCTCTCACCACTTCTATTCACCATTTTGGTGGAAACCCTAGCAGGTTCAATGAAACAAGAAAAAGAAAAAGGCATGCAGATTGGAAAGTCAATAGTAAGACTGTATTCATAGACGGTATTGTCATGTATGTAAAAAATCCAAAGGAATCTACAAAAAAAAGTTACTAGAACTAATAAGCAAGGTTTCAGGATACAAAGTCAATATACAAACATCAGTTGTATTTCTGTATACTAACAGTGAATAATTGGGTAATAGAATGAAACATACCATTTATACTATCACCAAAAATCATGAAGTTCTGAAGTTCTAGGGATAAATGTAATATGATATGTGTAATATACTGATATTGAATATTACAAGACATTGCTGAGAGAAATTTTAAAAAGATTAAGTAAATGGAGAAATATATCATGTTAATAGATTGCAAGACTCAATGTTAAGATATCTTTTCTTCCCACACTGTTCTACAGATTCAATGTAATGCTCAGCAGGGTTTTTTTTTTTCATTTTTTGGTAGAAATTGATAAACTGATTCAAGAATTTATATTACTGTAAAGGACCCACAGTAGCCAAAACAATTTTGAAAAAAGGAACAGATTTGGAGAACTTACACAAGCTGATTCAGACTTGCTATAAAGTTATAATAATATATAAATAAATGGAACAGAATAGAGAATCCAGAAATAGACCCAAATTTCTATGGTCAATTGATTTTTTTTCAAAGGTATCTTGATAATTCAATGGGAAAAAGGACAGTCTTTTCAACAAATGTTGATGAAAGAATTGGATATCCATATGAAAAGTAATGAACATTGACCCTCACTTCACACTCATAGAAAAATTAACTAAAAATGGATCACTAAATTAAACGCAAAAATGAAAACTATTGACAAAGTGTTTGTGACTTTGAGGATAGGCAAAGAATTCTTAAGACACAAAATACACTAACCATAAAAAATTATAAATTACATTTCATCAATGTTATTATTTTCTGTCTTTGAAAGACACCATTAAGAAAGAAAGAAGATTGGGAGTTGTGGGACAACTGGACTCACCTACCTGGCTGGTAGAAGTGTAAAATGGTATAACCACTTCAATTTCTCGTGACTCAGCAATTCTGCTCCTAGATATTTACCCATGACCTGTAAAAACATATGTTCCTGCAATGATTTGTGCAAGAATGTTCAGAGCAGCCTTTTTTTTTTTTAATAGCAACTTTTCAAAATAGCCCCAAACTGGAAACAATGTAAATGTCTTTCAGAAAGTGGGTGGGAAAATGAAATGTGGTAGATATATCTATACCCAGGATACTACTCAACAGTACAAAAGAAGGAACTACGTAGCTACAACAAAATGGATGAATCTCAAAGAAATTATGTTAAGCAAAAGACAAACAAAAAAATGTGCATACTGTATGATTCCATTTCTATGAAGTTCTGGAATAAAGCAAGAACTAATCTATAGTGATAGATCAGTGGTCCCCTGAAGTCTGGGTAGGGGTGGGAGAATTGACCACATAACGGCTCAAGGGAACTTTGGGAGGTGATGGTTACCTGACTGCATACGTTTCTTCAAGCTTCTTAAATAGTACACTTTAAATGGGTGTGTTAACTATATGAATATTATACCTAAATAAAGATGATTTTTTAAAAATGAAGTAGTTAATGATTCGGCACTAGAAGCTAAGCCTCCTGATTTCTGACAGTATTTTTTCTCCCCCTCCTAACCCCCCCAGGATAGTGTTGGCTCCTTTTCCCTCCATACTTCCCATCTCCCATGGGACAGAGTGATGAGGGAGGCTGAGAACTGGCTCTGAAATTTGAGCCTGGGTAACTGGGAGGACTGTTTGGGAGGAAGATGAAGAGTTTGGTTTTAGACACACTGAGCCTCAGCGCAGGGCTTTGGGCTTCCTGGTTGGTTTGTTTAGTCTTGTTGAGTCAGGATGTGGTCACCCCAGGAGAAAGATCCTTGGAGGAGGGGGATGTGGAGCCAGGAAAGGAATCAGGGAGAAGTCATCAGAGCCATAGAAAAACTGAAAGAAAGCAGTTTGATAGACACCATGGAGGAGAGGTTTTTCTCACAAAGAACAGGGTGGTCAGAAGTACCGAGGAGGGTGTAGAACTAATTGATCTTGGTAAAGTGAACATGGGATCCACAGCTTTGAAGTCAGCTTGGATGGGAATCTGGGGCTCCTGCTCACTTGCACGGTGACTTTGGACATTTTACTTAATGTCGCTCAAACCCAGTTTCTGTGATGGGAACAAGTAATGATTTTCACCTGAGATTCATTCTGACCATTCAATGAAAAAATGTATATAAAGATTTTAGGCCTGAATAAACATTAGTTTCTGATGCTATTATTAGTGAATTATCATTTTCATCATTTTTTCTTAGCTAATATTAAGTATTTGCTATGTGGCTATAGGATTTGTATGGCTTATCTCATTTCATGCTCAAAATAGCCCTCTGAGAAAAACCCTCCCTTTACACAGGAGGAAACAGGTTTTGAGAGTGATGTGGCTTCCCAAGGTGACAGTGTATGCTGGGGTGTGTATGAGCAGGCAGTGGGGCTCAGTCTGTCTTCTCAAGAGCGATAGGATAGGTTTGCCCAAGGGGCTCAGGAAGTAGGAAACAGGAAGGAATTTTCTTCCAGGTGATTTGGAAGTGAACAGAAGAGTCAAGGTAGGATTTCTTAGGAGAGACTTGAGCACTGAGGCTTTAGAGAGATTCTTTGTCTCAGGCAATGAACAGAGCTTCTAAAAGCCATTCAACAGCATACATTTATTGAGTGATTGCTGTGTACTCTTAAAATTCCCCTGATTTGTGCATAGAGTAGGATATCGTCTCCAGATAGATTGAGTCCAGTCTCATTGGCCTTGCTTCTATAGTAGGCTGTTGGCCCAGACAGTCATGGCTCTGGGAGAGCAGACATTGTGCCTTGGAATTCTCATGATTCTAACAGAATGCCATTTGTAGCTGTCCCTCCTTTTTGTTATTGCAGTGACATGTCCTGAGGAGACATGAGTGAATGCAAGGGTCCTGTGCCCACTCCATCCTGCCTCATTTTGCTCACAATTTTGACAGTCATGGGCTGAAGAACTGAGGCTGCGGACCTCCCAGCCCCTCTTCCATACAAACCGTTTTACAGATTGCAGAAAACTACCCTTGAATAAACAGTTTCCATTTCCTACCATGATATGGGGGGAGAAAGAGAAAGCATCATTCTGTGTAACTCACGTGGGGTGAGTTTTCCTTGGCCTTAAGGTTTCCAGTGGTAGGAAGGTAACTGCTGCATGGAGGAGGGAGGCTGGAGTGGAAGGGCTGCCCCTGCCAATTGCACAGAAAGAAGAAACCCCACGAGTGAAAATGGTCACAGAGGAAAGCATGGTTAATGACATGCTATATAAAGCTAGGTGGATTGTGGGAGATGAAGTATAATTTACAAGAGGTAAAACTTTTATCCTGATAAAGGGCCAGGTTGAGCCTACCATAAATCTAAGTTCCCCTGAAATAGCTATGATTATATTGGTAATACATTAAAAGATAGATATATCTTTTCTTTTATGTTCCACTAATCTCACCAGGGCAGTACTGAGTAGTTAAGATTTTTTTTCCTGAATGTCCTTAGTGAACTTCATAGGCACCTGCATTTAGCTTAATTTTCTTTCCTGGGATTTCCATTTTTATTTAATTAATTAACTTATTTTACTTCTGTAAAAAATTTTAACATTTACTTGTACATATTTGTGGGGTCTAGTGTGTTGTTTCAATACATGTGTATATTGCACAATCCATTTTTATTTTAGAAAGGAAGTCTTTTATTGAAAACATTGAGGTGAGCTTAAAATTATTCAGAAAAAATCAAATTACTTAGTATGTTAGTTTGCTGAGTTTAAAAAAATTACCTTTTCTACAGAGTCATTTGCATAATTTGAATGTTTTCTTAAATTCCCACTCATTTATTGGCTGTGTGACTTCTGAGGTATCCAAATTCTGTTGTGGGATCTTTTAAAAATGTCTCAAGTGTGCTCTAATGTTTATTAATTGAGTTTTTCAAGAATATAAACTATTATGAAATATTCTTAAAATGTTAACTTTTATGTGATATAATCTTATGAGTTTATTTTTTCTTGTTGTTTAACCAACTGTGCTGTCTTCTTTTCCCTTTTAATTTAATCCAGAAATAGGCAACAAGAAATATTACAAGTACAGCCGAGAAAAGACGTTAAAGTGGCTGCAAAAGAAGGTACGGTGCCTCTCTAGTGCCTTGTGGTAAAATAAAAGATTCAGTCCTCCTTTTTAAAAATCTTTAGAGATTTAAAAGTCTTTAGAGATTTGGATTAAGTCTGAATCCAAAGACCATCCTGTTCATCCAACAAAAAGAGGAAAACTGTATAGATATCCAAGAATGAGAAGAAATCTTTTACTTTTATTCTCCCTGACCTGTGAATCTCTGGAGTTAGCTTTCTGCTTTCTTGTGACCTATATCCTCATTTCTCCCTGACCCTGCCACTGGGTAAAAGAATTTCTTGCCATCTGTTGGTGTAGATTTGAGTCTTCTAAGCCAGTCATTACCAGAACTGATGCTTGTCTGTGGCTGTCAGTCCTGCAGGTATCTCTGAGGGTGACATTGCTCACATACAGCCAGACCAGGGACCAAGGGCACGAGGTGTTCAGGCTTAGAGGGAGCGTGTCCTACTCTTAGTGTCTGGACACCGAAGAGGGGTAATCTTCCGGACAAACTGTGGATCTTAGTGATTGTAAGAATTTGGACTTAATTCTGGGACAGTGTTTTTCAAATCAGTTTAGTAGGTCACAACCACCATTTCTCTTGGAATGGGATGGGATAGTATAGAATAGGATAGGATAGGACAGAATGTATTAAAATATAGCACAGAGTAAGGGCAAGTACTTAGTGCGGCTCTATGAAATGTATATTTTTATATGTGTTTGAGTACTGGGTTGCTGTATATTTCTTACTGTGGGTTGTGGTTAACTAAAGCAACAACTTTGAAAGCTGCTAGTCTGAGGCTATCATGTACTTTCATATTGATTAAGAATCTCACTAAACGAGATCTATTATTAATGACAAAGCATTTGCAAGATCAATGGACACCAGTAGTTATAATGCTGTTTCCTAAGATTTTCTTCTGTCTTGTATGTGAAAACCATGTTTGTTTGTCATATCATGTTACTGGGCACATTGGGAGCCTGGGAACATGGAAAAGAACCCTGTAGAATTAATCAGGCTCCTAATGTAGAAAGTAGTGAAAAGATTTAAAAAGTGCAACCGTGTTCCACTTTTCATGTGCTATGTAGTAATAGTATTTTATATAGGTGAAAAATGAGTATAAATGCTGAGCAAAATCTTGGAATGTAGTTTTTTTGTTTTTAAATTTTTCGTGACCGGTAAGGGGATCGCAACCCTTGGCGTGGTGTCACCCACACCGCGCTCAGCCAGTGAGCGCACCAGCCATCCCTATATAGGATCCGAGCCCATGGCCTCGGCGTTTCCAGCGCCACACTCTCCCGAGCGACCACGGGTTCGGCCCTTGGAATGTAGTTTTTTTGTTTTTAAATTTTTCGTGACCGGTAAGGGGATCGCAACCCTTGGCGTGGTGTCACCCACACCGCGCTCAGCCAGTGAGCGCACCAGCCATCCCTATATAGGATCCGAGCCCATGGCCTCGGCGTTTCCAGCGCCACACTCTCCCGAGCGACCACGGGTTCGGCCCTTGGAATGTAGTTTTTGCTCTTAACAAAATAATGACATTATTATTATTGTTAGATAATGACATGAATAGCAAAACGAAGTTTATACTTGTTATGTTTCACAGGAAGTGGGAAATTTTTATTATTTATTCTGTTTAGAAAATTATTACGTAAAAAATTTGTGGCGGGTTTTATTATAAGGGGTTTACATATATTAGCCAATCTAATCCTCACAATACTCCTATGAGGTAGGTACTATTTTTATGTCCATTTCACAGCTAGAGGCACAGAGGGGTTAAGTAACTGGCTTATGGTCACAGAGCAAACCCAAGCAGCCTGACTCCAGAGTCAGTGCTCTCAATCACCACAATATGCTGCCTCTCATAGTGTGTAGGACTTAGGAAGTCCATGTATTGAGATCATCCAGAAACGTTGCTGCCACTCAACCTTTCTCCCAATGTGCCATTTCTCATCTTCTGATATCTGCTGAAGATATTTCTAGTTTCTCAAATACTTCTTCCCAGATCTTAAGTGGATTGAGGGCCATTTGGAAAATCATGGATTTCTAAAGTTAAGTTGAAAATACCCTAACTTTTCTATTTTGGTTACTCCATAGGTTAATCAAACTATTGCAGCATTAAAAACCAATAAGGTAAATGTCAGTGCCCGGGTACAGTCAACTGCATTTTTCTCTGGTGACCAGGTGTCCAGTGACAAGGAAGGTAAGTAAATCATTCCATCAGAAATGACTTTTGTCTGGAATAAGTTCTTATGTGTAAATGCCTATCTTAGGATACATCTTAGGATCTCAGGATTTTAAAATGTCACAGAAGCTTCATATTCTTGCCAGTGTTCTCATAGATCTGTGGCAGGTATACATCTTATTTCTGAGTCAAGAACAGTAGTATTTCTACATAGGTCACTTCTGTTATTAACTGATACTTAAATCATTCATTCAGCAAATAGTTATTTTACTCTAATAGTAATAACAACCCTAACCACCGTGGCTATCATTTATTCAGGTTGTGTTATGTGCCAGGCCCTTTACTAAGTTGCCAGTATACAAACATGATCTCGTCTGACCCTCCCAGTAAGTCTCATAAGAGTCTTGAGGCCCCGTCCAAAGTCACACAACTAGTAAATGGCAAAGCTGAGTCACTAATGGAACTTTTCTACTCTTAGCCCGCACGCTTAACCTTTTTGTTGTACTGTTCCTGTGGCACAGGGTTTCCAGTGGGCTGCATCTCTTTGTATCTTGTTCTCAGAAAGCGTATTTCCTAAGATTGCTCTCAAGATTTTGATTTTAGATAAAAATTGGTTCACTTGGCAATTTTTTTCTTTTAGGTTATTAGGGTACATTCTTTTGCTTTTTGCAGTGTAGTGTCCTCCTATTTTTATATTATATAGTGGAATAAAAATAGTTATGTAATGCAATTAACATTCTCAATTGGTGGAACAGAAATTATTCTGACCTTATGGTCCAATTCAGAATTCTCTTGTTCTGGGTATATAACTGAAATATCTGGCTTAGCCATTAAAAAATATAAAAACTAGGAACAGGGGCCTGTTTGTGATTGATGCTAATTCAGGCAGTCTTTGATTTGTTGAAATCTACCTTACGACACCTTGTACATACACATAGTTAGCTACTGCCCTTTTGGGAGTGGTGAACAGCACCGTTGCCATACTGAGTTTATCAGCTGTCAGTGTCTTTCATTGGCTTTAACAAAAGAAGAGGGATTGAGTCAGATGGTTGGATGGATGGATAGATGGATGGACAGATAGATCAATAAAACCATAGATTTTTTTTTTAAGTAGGAGAAGGGATATTAGGGGTTATTTAAATAGATCCCCTTATTTTAAAAATGGAAAACTGTGGTCTCAGAGAGGTAGATGGCTTATCCTAGCTAGTAAGTGAGGTCTTCTGCTCCGAGTTCAGTGCTTCTACCTAAAATGTACATCTAAGGTTCTGGGCTTGGCTGTATTACCATTTAGTGTCCCAGCCATAAAGCAAGCTTTGCACTGTTTTCTTTTCTTAGATCTTTAGCTTGGTATGGTACCAGAAGCAGCAAATGAACTATATGTTGGCTTTCTTAAAATAGTTTTCTTTGTCTAGTCATGACTCATTGGATAATTACTTACCCAGAACCACGAGCACATTTTAAGAATGGTCCAATGATAACTCTCAATTCTACATTAACAGTGAAAATCTCTTACTAAAGACTTTTTGAGATCAGGTGGTCACCAGACGGCATTCATCTTCTAAGTAATGCTGAGGCAAATTGTTAGTTTAGCTTGAAGGCTGAAAAAAGAGGAAAAAAGGAAGTGAATTAATATCCTAGCAGCAAACCTGAGGTCTGCTTTTGGTAGTTTAAATCTCCATATGGTTATCCCATCTTATGATTAACTTTGATTATCCCCTCGTATTCTACATAAAATACTGAATTAGGAACAGGGTTTGAAACAGATTTTATTGTCTCGTGTAACTGTATTTAATTGATGCCAGAGCTGCAGTTTAGTACTGAGGATCCAGATGCTTTAGAATTAATGATTATACATTCTGCTGAGTTAGTTGTTTTGTTTTGTTTTTTAAAGGCATTTTATTAGTTTGGGAGTATATGTTCAGTTTCTTATAAGGCAAATCTTTAGTAGGGAAACATCATAATATGTTATTTCTTTAAATGAGTATGCTCGTGCTCATTACTGTTCAATAATTAGATTTGTTCTGTATTGAAGTGACTTAAAAAAGATTTGGATATATCTTTAAAAAAACATATGGATATTTCATATTGTTACAGCTGATTTTTGACTGTATTTGTACTCAATGGCCTCAACTAAGAAAGCAACCCTGAGTTTTTGTTTTTACTGTCATTTAGTGGGCATCTGCTATGTTTTACTTGGATTATCTTTTCCTATATTTGATATCATCCTATATCATCTCTTGTCCATCATGTCACCCCACTAGTCTGACAGATTAATATTAATACCCCCTTTGACAAGTGAGGAAACTGAGGCTAGAGCTTAAGTGAGTTTCCTAAAGCCAGATAGAGCCAGAATTTGGAAAACCACAATAATTACTATTCATTTTTTTCTTTTACCTTTCTTTCTGTTTCTTTCAGAGGATTATATTTGTTATGCCCATGGCCTGATATCTGATTATCTCCCTAAAGAATTAAGTGATGATTTATCTAAATACTTAAAGTAAGTAATGTTCATCTTCAGTAACAATTAAGTACCTTTGTGTTTCTTGGTTTCCCCAGCGACAGTGTTTCTTCATGGCTTATCATGTCACTTTGTGATAAGAGATTATTCTTGAGTTATGTCATATACACTATAGTTCGGAGGTGATTTTTCATAGAAATCAACTGAAATGGATTAATTTGCTGGATATCGATTGCAGAACTAATGAGTGTTAGGATTGGAATTATAGCTTGGTTCGATTTTAGAGGATAAACTGTTAAAAGTTTATCCCCATTGAGACAAACTGCTTTGGTTCTTTGTGATCATTTTAAGAGAAAGAAAGAAGAGAAGGAAAGAGTAGATGGCATGTAGAATATTTTTGAAATTTGTGTTTAAAGGTTTTGTACTATTTCCACTCTCATCTTTAGATGTTCACTAATTACGTTTATTATGCCGAGTGCTTGGAACTCAAGGTAACGTGAAACACAATCTGTGTTCTTGAGGGATGAAAGAAAGGTTTTAAGAATGCTTGATTTGTATTCCTTCCTTTATAAAGATCTTTAATTTAATATAAAGACTTTACTTTTGTTGAAAAAATTAGTTTATTGTCTTGATTTTAGCAATTGTTAAGATTTTATGTGTGAGATGATTTAATAGCTTTTCCTGAATCCTTATTATTTTTCTCCTCTGATTCATAATAGATATAGTTGCTGTATTTAGCAAATTTCATAGGCACTACTTTAAAAAACAGTGGAAACTGGTTTCGGCAGTAGTTAAAGTGTGTTGAAAGCCAGCTCTAAACTGATAATCATATCCTTCTGTTTAATATTTGCCTGGATTTCTTAGCTGCTTGTGTTATTAGAGACCTTATGTTTTTGCACTCCATTATTTATATAGTCTTTTCTTTCCACTGAAATTTTTAAGTTTTGGTTAAAGATTTGGGGATAAAGATATGCCAATTAAATTTCTCTTTATGGAAGAAAAGGTAGAGTTCGTGTGGCTTTTTGTTGACAGTTAAAATAATTTCCACTTTTACATATATGCTAGCATCATCATTTATGAAGGAAAAATACTCCTAACACCAAAACACAAATGTATGGAGGCTAAAGAAAAGCAACCACATTTCAATGAATGAGATCTACTTTTATTTTTTATTTCAGACAATTCTAGTACAAAGAATTAAGTAGCAAAATGAAGATTCATTTATTTAGAGAAATTTTATTCTTTACCCTGAGGTTACTGAACGGTAGTATATACAGAGGTAAAACTGTAAGACGAAAAAGAGGACTAAGTCTTAAGTTGGCCCAGTCTTTCTATTTGCTTATCTATGAAAAACCGTAACTATTATTTTTATTTTTGACTTCCTTAGGCTTCCAGAACCTTCAGCTTCATTGCCAAACCCTCCATCAAAGGTAAGAAGCTGTGACTAAGATATCTTTGGGGGACTGGGAGAAATATTACACGTTTAGCACATGAGTTTAGTTTGTTCTAGTGTATTTTAAAGCATGCTAAATCCATCTTGCACAGAGTGATGCTGTGTGAAATAAGGATTGTACTGGGCTCTCCGTCACTATTTTTTATTTTTGTAGATTTTACCTACATGGTAAATAAAGTGCCAAGAAAGCCCGTGAATTGGTTTTAGTAAGATACCTCTGTAAAAATACTATTGATATATAATTAAATCTTCTTGAATTAGCGAGATCATTTAATTAACTTTATTAATCATCCAGAATACTCTCTGTATAACTAAAACTTGTTTTGCCAAATCTAATTCTCACTGGCACAAAGGTACACAGAGCCTGATTTTTATAACACAAAGGATCCTTTGAGCTAGGTTGACCACATTTTTTTTCTGAATTTGAGATGATCAACGAATTTGTGTGTAATCTTTATCCATTTGTGGAAAACCATGTCCTCTTCCAGACATTCTCAAACTGCCACCCACAGCTCTTCTGCAGAGTGTTTATTTCCCAGATCCAGAGGACAGAGAAGCCAGTCATAAACCACACCTGATTGTAAACTGTAGCATCCCTCGGTCCAGGCCAGATCTCAGACGAGGAAGTGCTGCTTCCAGACAGGGAAATGAACACCTGCACCAGCTTGTCAGTGAGGTCATTCTCCAGCCAGCAAAGTAAAGGATGCCTTGAGAATGTAATGTGCACGTGTCACAGATGTTAAACAACTTTCCTTAACTCCTGCATTCATTCCTCTGCCTTCCACGTGGCCAAGATGCTCAGGATTTTTTTGTATCACATCCTGTTTGGAGGTGGTCCTGGCTCCAAAAACATTCAATGTTAGTTCGGAGCCATGTTCAGCAGGTTGTCAAAGGAGGGGCTTATTCTATTCTCTTAAAGAATAGCACTGGGCAGAAGTCAGTTGCTGTAAGATCTAGAAGGACCATTCTAAGACCCCCGTATCTTCCAGTCTGGTAGTTAATCTCTGGCAGTAGCTCTAGGGCACACAGAGAGACATAATCGTGTTGCTGTAACTAAGAGGGTAAGTGCTCTGAAAGTGTTTGTTTCTTATTTCTCCCTCCAAAAAATAAGCATATTCCTTTCTCCCAAATGTCTTTCTTCCTTAGCAACTTAGAGATCATTCATGAATTGATCTAGACCTATTCTTGGAGGCTTTAATCTTTGATACCTTCTGGAGTAATGAATTTCATAAGTTAATTCTCTGTCCAGTTTTCTGTTTTCATATTTTAATTTCCAAAGTTTAAGTGGTTTGTGATTTTGTCATTTATGATTTAGATCAGGGGTCAGCAAACTCTGTAAAGGCCAGATAGTAAATATTTAGGTTCCCTGAAGCAGACAGTCTCTGTTTCAACTACTCCACTTTGCTGTTGTAGTGTGAAAGTAGCCACAGATAATACATAACTAATTAGCATGGCCGTGTTCCAATAAAACTTCATTTATAAAAGCAGGAGGCCATCTGGATTTGGCCCATGGGTCATAGTTTGCCAAGGCCTTATTTAGATCTCAGCGTCTTGTTCCTCCTAAACCTCAGCCTCATCTCCTGGATTATTTTAGTTGCTTTTGGAGGTCTTCTCCTGCCCTGTGTGTCTTTCTGGGGTTCCGGTGTACACTTTACAAACTGTAGTGTATGATGTACCATAGTTTAAACAAGCATTGGATATGTCTGCTGCTAGGTTTCTTGTCTGTGTCCAGGATTTGACTGAGTTTTACAGTAATATAGTTTCTTATTTCCAGGATATGTATTACAGGGGCCTTTCGGTATCTTTGTATCTAGGTTGCAATCAATAGCATGGAGCTTGTCATCCTTAATCAGTTTTACATTATTTTCCCTTACTATCATATGTTTCCCTTTGTTGAAGCTCGGCTTCCAACCCTCACCCCCTTCAGTCTTTCGAATTTGTCACTGTCAGCGAGCAGAGCAGAATGCAGCCAGTGGGTTTGGAGACGTTCCTGAGTTCCTTTTCCAAATCATTATGAGAATAAAACCGGTCCTGACATTAATCCCTGTGATATTCTGTTGTTCTTCTCTTTCCAGAAGTGTACCCATTTAGTCATACCCTTTGTTACAGTCTTTCTTAGCCACTTGTCTAGTTCTGCTGAAACATTCCCTCCAATCCATAGTGATTTGGGCTTTTAAATAGCAAAAATGTCAGTAAATGTTGTAATCCTGTTTTTTCCCCAATATATTCAACAATGTACTGGGAATAATATAAAAACTAGTTATGTGCATAGGCTATCACAGTTGTTTTTTTGTTTTTTGTTTTTTTTAAATAAGCACTTATAACTGGTGTCTTGTTTGCTAGTGAACTATTAAAACACCTGATCGAGTCAGTCCTCTTATTAAATGTTTCATATTCATACGGAAGTACCTTTCATCTTAAGCTCTTACCGTGAATTTTTTTTTTAATCTGTGAATTATCTGTGAAAAGCGAATAATGCCCAAGTGTTTATGATGACATCTGTGTTAGGAACATTTTGCCACAGAGAAGCTTTTTTGACTTCAAGCTTTTTGTGTTTGAAACTATTATAGCCCTCAGCATGGTTAGCTACAAGTTCTGTTCCCCTGGATGAAGATACTTCTCTTGTAAAAATATGCATCACCTAATACCCTTTGCTGTCTTAATTTAAATAGAAACATGTATTTTTAAGAAAATTGCGGGTATACGTTCTCTTTGTGCTGGTAGGTAGTTCACATGTAATAAACTAGTCCTTTTCTTTTGATGATTCATTTGCTAGAGGTTGTTGTGTGGCCAGGAAAAGTTTTCCCACATCATGTTGTGTATTCCTAGGATGTCCCTCTGTTTTTTAACAGCAAAGAACTTAGAGACATTTTGTTTTATCCCCTTGGATTATGCAGGCTGTGACATCTTTTAGCACCACCTCTACCAGTTCTTCGTTCAGCAAAAGCAGGGGCATGAAGAATGAAGCTGGGATGAGTCTATATTTCCCCATGTGGGGTCTTGTCAACCCACTTTCTCCACAAAGAGCTTGAAGATCTGTAAAAATCTAAGTTTTGATTGCCATGTAGTCAGTTCTCCATGTTGAACGACAAGACTTATCTGCCCTGCTCTTTTACCTTTTACATAATAAGCATGGCACGATTTCTTCTGTATTATGACCCTTGAGGCCCCACAGTCTAGTTCTTGATGAGATTCTCACATTCACTGGAGCAAAATGCTCATGTGAAAGGTGAAAATATTAAGTGAAATTTTGACACTAGGCCACCTTCGCTGTTCATTTAGCCTCTCTGTGCTTCCCTTGCCTGCTGGCTGCTTGCTGCGCAAGGTTGTTCTTGTGTGGATAAAATGAGATCATTGAATTGAAAGGAGGTAAGGACATGAAGCTATGCAAAGATGTTAATAATTGAACATTGCTGTCCCCTGTATTCATAAAAGGACATTCAACCAGCCCAAGAGGTGAATGAAATGTGGGTTCTGGCCGGACACCTGGGCCCCCAAGAGGGAGTTCTCATCATTTGCTTCTGTGCCTGTATTTACCCCCACGACTGTTCTTGAAATTAGCAGTCACCTAGAGCCCACTGTACCTGACACATTCAAAGCATGTGTTTAGTATTGCTAGACTGGCTGAGGGGCTGGATCCTGTACTTACCTAGTCGTATTGTACCATCACCGAGGTGGCTTCTCAGAAGTGATGTGTAGCTTAATTCCCTAGATATTGGCAAAATGTGAAGAATCCTGTAAACACCAAGCCCTTTGCTGGGTCTGCTGCTCCATTTGGCCTCTATGTGGGTCCAAATTGCACATGTCAGTTTTTTTTAATGAATTGATGTTAAGTGTCAAGGTGACTTTTGACACCACTTCACTGCTCTAACATTGCAGAAAATAAAGTTATCAGATGAGCCTGTAGAAGCAAAAGAAGATTACACTAAGTTTAACACTAAAGATTTGAAGACTGAAAAGGTATGTGTACCCGAGTGTAGTGGCACACTGCCCGTACTCAGTGTGCGATGCTGCCTGAACACATCCAGGAGCACTCGCGTGTTTGATCATGATTACAATAGGTACCAGGAAGGATTACTAACTTGCATTTCTGTGACTTAATTAACTCAAAATTATGCATGACAATGGAAATATTAAGCAATGAAGACTTTTTATGCATCAAAGATAAGCAACATACTTAACAAAAGTGTGCCTTTTGCGGGGAGGGCGGGCATTTTGCTGTGTGTTCTTAGGATGATAGGGTGGGAAGGGAGGGAGCCTCTACAGGAAATTTTTTGCCAACTCTTCTGCTTAGAACTTCCTAGAAATTATGGTGATGACAGAAATTATTAATAACTCCACCATTCTGCATTCACCATGGCAAATGTTGTTTTGGTAGCATTTCTTGCTGAATTTTATCTTACACATGCATCATAAATACATATGTAGCTTTTAAAATTGGCACTATAACACACAGGTTTTGGTTCTGCCCTTTTTCATTTAGCATTATATTGTGAAAATGTTCACATATCATTAAATATTCTTTGAAAAATTATTCATAGTTTCATGATATTCAATCATGTGTGTTACTTTGTTTCATCATATGGAATATAATTTATTTAATCATTCCCCAATTTTTGGACATACAGGTTATTTCTGATATTTTAATTTTTTATTTTAACAAAATGATAGACATTCTAATTCACAGTCCACATCTCTGATTGTTTCATTAGACACAATTTAGAACTAAGAGTAAGAGCTTAGAGAACATGAGCTCTTTCGTGATAATCGAAATATATATAGCTAAAATACTTTCCAAAAATGTAGTAGAAATTTGTCCTCCCAAATATGGATATTACTGTCAGTGAGTGAGTACTTACCTTGCATTTGACAGCATTGAGTATTATTTTTATTCTTAAAAATTTTTTGCCTGTCAAATTAGGCTGCATTTCTTTAACTAGAAAGGTTAGTTGTTTTTCCAAAAGCTTATTGCCCATTTCCATTTTTGCAAATTATCAGTTCATGCCCTTTGTCTGTTTTTATGTTGAGATAGTAATGTTTTTCTGTTGATGTGTAACAGTTCATTCTCAATTAAGGCTATTTACACTTTTTATGACATATAGGATACAAATGTGTTTAGCCCTTTTATTTGATCTTTTAACAGTGTTAAATTTTTCTGAAGATTAAGTATAGAAATTGTTTTTCTTTAAGAGTTTTCCATTGATTTTATGCTTAGGAAGGCCTTGCCCATCCCCAAGATGAGTTAACTTCCACTTAAGTTTTAATAATACTCCCCTTAGTTTAACATTTTTTATAAATTTTATTCTTTCAGCTATATGTAATTTATTAGGGCATATAATATAATATAAATAGCTAGTTATCTCAATGCTCTATGTACACAGGGACATTTTGTGTTTCTCTGAGATCAATCTTTCTGTTCCGCTCTTCTATGGAAATGCTGTTTCCCACTGTATCCACTTGGGCATAGCATCAGTGACAGAAGAGGGTTGGACCAGGATGGCAGTTAAATGCATGGGATATCTTGTCTGAAAGAGACTGTCACTTTTCACAATCCAGTCAAAAAATAAGCCTACTAAATTATAAGTTACTGAATGTGAAAAGAAAGATTGCTGGAGTCATATACCGTGTCCTTAAAAGATGCGTTGGCAACAGCTCTGTCTTCCAGTTCCCAGGGAGACACATGACTTTTTCTTTGCTGATTCCCATAATTTATGCTTCTTCTGAATAAATTGAGATGCATCAAAGTAAAATCAGCTGCTACTTAGTTTCTGCTAGTGCTTTTAATAGGACGTGGGGGGAAAAAAATACAATGACCAGGAAGTGATAGAAATCTACAGAGCAAAATTATTCGAGGTCGGCTTTTGGAAAGTATTTTTTCATTGGAGGAAAAATGGTGCCACTACCCTGCTGGTCTGGGATGCTTTGCAGTACAGGTCATATTTTGAATATGGTAGGATTGTCTTTAGTTTCTCTTAGAGAGAATGAGTAAAATCAGATGGTAAGTTGGTGTGAATTATTCATCATGTGGTAATATGCGGCTGTGTCAGTTCCATTGTTAGTGTTATTACATCCCCCAGAATTATTCCCCGAAAGTGAACCATTGGTTGTAACATTCCACTCCTTAGAAGGCGGCCGTGTCTTCCACCTCTTTTAATATATTCTGTCTCTTAGATTTGAATTCTGAATAGAAATCAGAACTTTTTCTCACTCCTTCCTTATGAAGCATGTTAGTAGTGGACACTTACTTCGCTTAATGAGCCTTGAGACATGCACAGTCTTGTTTGATTTGCAAGTATGATTTACAAATATTACATTTGTAACAGTTTTTTTCTCTTATTTTCTTTAACAGAAAAATAGCAAAATGTCTGCTGCTCAAAAGGCTTTGGCTAAAGTTGACAAGAGTGGAATGAAAAGTATTGATACCTTTTTTGGTGCAAAAAATAAAAAAAAAATTGGAAAGATTTGAAATTTTGAAAATGAAATATAGCAAAAATATTTGCTTTTTACATGTTTCATTTCCATCCTTCCTCCATGCTGCTGGACTTCCTGATCCTTAATCACCACCTTTGGGGGAAAAAAAAGATGGCAATTTTCAGTGACTTTCAAAAATTCACTTGAACATTTCTTTGTATTTGATTTTTGTGTTCCTGAACAAAATATGGGAAAGTAATAATGGAACTGCATGGCTTGTGGCCTTTGGAGTATTGTTTGACATAATGAAAAGTAATCATGTGAGTAGAATTTAACATATAATAGCGTCCCAATTTCCTCAATAAATGACGTGTACAATATTGGAGCATATGCCTGTTGTTTCATTCAACTTTGCCACACAGTAGTGATAGCAATATGGTCTTCAATATATTGATAGAAACCAGATAATAAAATTACTAATTTTTAAAAGACTTTAGCTATTGATAAATCTTTTGTTTAATGGTATTTTTCTGTTCTTATGAATTCTTTGTGGAATTATGTTTCTTTGTAGAAAAGAGAAAAGTATAAAACAAAAAAATGTAATCCCCCAACTTTTCATTACCCAAAAATAATATACTTTTTTTTTTTTTTTGTCTTTTTCCATGTCCGGCAACGGATCGCAACCCTCAGTGTCGCCCCCGTACCGGACCGGGACCGGCAACGGGATCGCAACCCTCGGTGTTGCCCCCGCGCCTCGCTCAGCCAGTGAGTGGGAACCGGTCCGTATGTGGGATCCGAACCCTCGGCGGGAGCGCTGCCGCGCTTCCCAAGCGGCGCACTAGCGCAGTGCGCCACCGGGCCGTCCCGTAATATACATTTTTAAAAGAAATTATAATAGTAACTTTATAATTTTTTTGACAGTATGAGTTTGTGAGCATTTTTCAAGGTTGCTAAGTACTCTTCATAAATATGCTTTTTAATAACAGTAAGATTTTCAATTATTTGAGTATTTGGTTATTTAATAACCATGACTCTATTCTGGACATTTAGATTATTTCCAAATCCTCACTGTTTGAAGAATCAGATTATATGTAAATATTTGTCCACCTCTTGTTTTCTTAGAATGGATCTAAGATTCAGGCTTAATGGTTTAAAAATAAGTTTTTAAAATATATATTTGTGGGAATTCATTTTAAAAAAAGGTTATAGAATCTTATACTCTAACAAATAGTGGGTGGGTGTGAGTTATCTTTTTAAATGCCACCTTGTTAGCTTTGAATGCTATTTTCATAAGTAAGTGGAAAAAGACATTTTATTATGGTTTTAATTCACATTTCCCTTATTAGTAATGATGTTGAACATGTTTTCGTGTTTACTGATAGTTATCCTAAGGAGAATTGTCTGTTTATATCCTTTGTTAAATGACTGGTGTGTCAGCATTTTTCTTATTGACTCAAATATTCTGTAACCTAAGGACATTAATTTTTGTTCACCATGTTCACTGTAAATTTATTTTCTTGATGTGTAGTTGCCTTTAATTTTGTTTATGATTTTTTGACATGTAGATGTTTATAGTTTTTACATAGATATGCATAAATAAACTTTAGCCTTTTAAAAAGAAAATAAATTAAACTTTTCCTTTACATAGATGTTACACTTAGATATTTCCTCTTATAGGAAAGTTAACACTTTTACTTTCTTCTCATTTTTAACTAATTTTCTAGTAAAATTTTTGTATTATGTTTAATTACTTAAGTCATCTAGAGCATTTTTATTTAAATATGCTGTGAGATAAAGCTATAATGTGAATATTTTCTCACCAGTTTGTTTTTCCACTTGATCTGTAGGATTATTTTTTCAGGATCTATGAGTATGTTCCAGTGAGATTTTTATTGAGATTTTGTTAGACCCATAAATTATTCTGGGAAAAACAGACATCTTTACAAAATTTAGTGTTTTTATTCAGGAACATAAAGTTTTCCTATATTTACTTAAATTCTAATTATACGTTTCAACTAATATTTTGTTCTTCCTCTTCATATAGATTTTAGATATTTCTTTTTAGGAGTATGTCTAGATATTTTTGTTGCTATTAATGGAATTTTTTTTCAGTTAGGACTATTCATGGTAAAGTTTCACATTTTTATACACTTATCTTTTAAATAACCAATTACTAACTATTAAACTAAAAATTTTCTATTTTTTCATCATACATTTTCCATACATGACAAAGTATGTGATCTTCTAAAAAATTGTGCATGCAACACTCTGTAATAATTATATCTCTTTTATATCTTTTATATCATATTATATGAGCTAGAATATCTAGAAGAGTGTTAAAGAGTAATAATAATAGTCATCCTTGTCTAATTTGTGATTTTATTAATAGGCTGTACCATTAATTCTAACACTAGCAGTTGTCAATGTGATAAAGTATATCCATCTTTGATATTTTCTTTTTTTTTTTTTTTTTGTCTTTTGTCTTTTTTCCGTGTCCGGCAACAGATCGCAACCCTCAGTGTTGCCCCCGCACCAGACCGGGACCGGCAAGGGATCGCAACCCTCGGTGTTGCTCCCACGCCTCGCTCAGCCAGTGAGTGGGAGCCGGTCTGTATGTGGGATCCGAACCCTCGGACGGGAGCGCCAGCCGCGCTTCCCAAGCGGCGCACTATCCAGTGCGCCACCGGGCCAGCCCGATATTTACTTTTATACTTAATTTCCTTAGAGTTCAAATTAGTAATTGGTGTTGGTTATCAGATACCTTTTTGGCATCTAGTGAGATGACTCTAGAGGTTTACCACTGTTAAACTGTACTTGAGTTCCTGTAACAAACCCTCCCCAGCAGTCAATAAAAGTTAATATAGTGGATGCCCCCTTTCTGGTTTAGCCTTTGTCAAATCTAGGCTTTTATTATTCAAAAGCAACGTTGCTCTTAGGTTTTAGTGTTAGAATTATGTTGGCTTTTCATCTAAGAGGTATCAGAGGTAAAACTAACACTGGAGATTTTGTGCTTTTTTTATAGTTTTCTTTAATCTGGAAGAATTTCTCACCCATTCTTTGTCTTACTTGAAGCGTACAGACCGGTTATTTGGTAGAGAGTTTCTCACTTTTGTGTACATCTTCTTGATTAGATTCAAGTTATACACTTTGGGCACCCATAGAAGGAACAATGTGTCTTTCTCAGTGCTCCATTTCAGGAGTTGCAGTCCTAATATCAGCGATAACTAATTTCGATCACTCTCAGTTAAGAGGGTGTCCACAGGTTTAGCCACTGTAAATTATGGATTATCTTTGTACTTAATAAGTAATTTGTGGGTAAGTACTCTGGGACTTTGTAAATAACCTATTTCTCGTCAAATGTTCACCTACTAGTTTTAGAATCTTACTGAATCATTTCTTCTATATTTATCAGTTGGTATTCTTCTGTAAGGATGATCTTTCCCATCTTCACTTACTTATTCGTTTATGAATTTATATAAATATGGATTTGTAGATTTTTATTTTGCCCATTTGATTATATTATATTATATTATTATTATATAAGTTTAATGTTCATATTGCCCCAAAAAGCCCAATGGCAGACACTTCAGGCTGTCTCCTGTACCTTTTTGTTATGTTTTCATCATTCTTTGATACTTCCTTTCTTATGCAGCAGGCTCTTGCTATACTTTCCTTGCCTGAGTCCTGAATCAGCCTTTTTTTACAAAGAGCTCTGGCTTCTTTTAGTGGAGAATGGCATTTAGAAACCAAGATCTAGGCAGTAGGTGTGCTCAGTACTATTGGTGTGTCATGGCTTAGTGGCCAAAGCGAGGAAATTTGTGTGTATGTGTTTGTATCATGTGTACACACACATATACACATTATATATTCATGTCAACATTTCTTTTTTTTTTTTTCCTTTTTGTCTTTTTTCGTGACCGGCAACGGATCGCAACCCTCAGTGTCGCACCCGTACCAGCCCGGGACCGGCAACGGGATCGCAACCCTCGGTGTCGCGCCCACACCTCGCTCAGCCAGTGAGCGGCCGGTCTGTATGTGGGATCCGAACCCTTAGTGGGAGCGCCGCCGCGCTCCCAAGCAGCGCACTGTAGCAGTGCGCCACCGGGCCAGCCCTCATGTCAACATTTCTAAATCTATCCATATATCTACCAATATCTTCGTGTGTGGTTTTCTGTAGATTCCTTTATCAAGTTGAGGAAGTTTTTTACTATTTCTGGTTCACTGAGAGTTTTTATCATAAACAGGCACTGGATTTTGTCAAATAATTTTTTGCCTATATTGTCATGATCATGTAGTTTGTCTTTAATAAAGGAATATCTTTTAACGTGTAAATTATAATGATTGGTTTTTGAATTTTAAACTAACCTTTCATTTTTGAGATATCCCTACTTGGTCACAGTGTATTGTTCTTTTAATATATAGCATGGGGTTTTATTTCCTAATATTTGCTGCAAATTTTTGTATATATGTTCATGAGGACTATTGGTCTGTAGTTGTCTCGACTTGTAATTATTTTGTCTGATTTTGGTATCAGAGTAAAACTGGACTAATAAAATGAGTTGAGAAATATTCTTTTGTCACCTATTTTCTGAAAGAGTTTGTCTGAAATTGGTATTATATTTTTCCTTATATGTTGGACAGAATTAACCAGGTAAACCATTTGGGCCTGGAGTTTTCTTTCTGGGAAAGTTTTTAATTACTAATTTAATTTCTATAATAGATACAGAGATATTCTAATTTTCTCCTTTTGAGGGGGGCCAGTTTTGGTAATTTGTGTCTTTCAAGAAATGTGCATATTTCACCTAGATTGTCAAATTTATTGGCATAAGTTCACCATTATATTTTTATTATCCTCTTAATGTCTGTGGATCTGTAGTGATGTTCTCTCTTTCATGCTGGTCACTTTTGTCTTCTCTATTAGTTCAGCCAAAGTTTTATTAATTTCTTTGGTCCTTTCAAAGAGCCTTTGTCATCTGCCTTGTATAATTTCTGATGAGACATCTACGATAATTCTTATATTTCTATCACTTTATAAAATATGTTCTCTCTTCTCACTGGCTTCTCTTAGGCTTTTTTTTTCCCTAATATTAGTTTTCAGTAAGTTCGTTATGATGTGTTGAAGTGGTTTTCTTTGTGTTTATCTTATTTGGGGGCTGTTAAGCTTCTCGAAACTTTTATAATTTTTTTATCAAATTTGGAAAATTTCTGACTAATATTTCTTAAAATATTTTCCTGTTCTTTTCTTTCTTTTCTCTGCATCCCCTTAGCTTCTGGGACTCCAATTATAAGTATGCTAGACCACTTGCTATTGTCCCCCAGGTTCTGTCAGTGAGTTTCCTTTTTTTTTTTAATGTTCTGTTTTTAAACAGTTTCTCTTGTT